ATTTGACGCACAAATTTACACTCGAACCAAACCATTTTTCTGTTTTTTTTTCCCTTTTCGGTTATTTCTGTCCATGATTGGATAGAAAAAAAACGAACTACAAATACTCCAAGATTTTTTTGACTTCATTAAAAAATAAAATCGTTTTTGTAGGATGGAAACTTTTTGAGGTCAAAACCCCCCACCCCCAAACTAAAGGAAATAGGTTTTTTATCCAACATCGATCTTTTGACGTCGTCCCTTAAACGAGGAAACATTAAAAAATGAGTTTTATTATAACTTGCTAAGGTTTGTCTTATTCATTCATTCACCAACACAACATATAATACATAGTTACCTCAAAAAGGTTCAGAACAAGCCACCAACTGCGGTCAACCCCAAGATATACTTTTGTTTCAATTTTTGTGTTTATCTTGCATGTAAATACACAGCATTATTTTAGCACATTGGCTGCTCTATCCTAGAACAGCGGTTTGTATTGTTGATTGTTGTTCATCGCCTTTCTCACAAATCTCACATATCCACACGAAATGAACAAATCTGAGAGAGAACCACCCAAGGTATCTTCCTAGAATGTTTCACAGCTATATAGTTTGTGGTTTTTAAGAAGAAGTCGGAAATATAAAGTTGATGGCCGTGACGATGACGGTAGACGCTCACAGACAATCAATAATACTATAAGCTAACAAGAAAGCCATCAGAGATGGTATGACTTATGGAGTGACTTTAAAAATTAATTGTGCTGGGTCTGTAAACATGGCAGATAAATCTACTTAGGAAGTACTTAGTATTATGACAGAACCCCACACCCTCCCTATGGCTTTCGTTGTGTATGGAAGTTATTTTCACAAGTGATGCAGTGTATCCTGCGACCGTACTTTCACGACCAAAACCAAAACCATTAGGTTACATGCCAAAACTACCGTTATTTTTGTAATCCACTTTCTCGGCTCAGTTGATTTGAGTGCACTGATCCCAATTTAAAAAAAAATAAAAATATCGTATAAAATAAAGACACAGTTCCGTCTGCAGTCATATCCAACATTTGACTGTTCCAAAGTTGAGTTGACAACGACAGGACGCCTTGGTGAAGTTCTCATTTTCACCATGGACGTACTGGGAGCTCCATGGTCTCACAAAAATCATGTGTAGCATTATCACGCGCAACTTGAATGTAAATATTATGCAATAATAATGGTAAAGTTTAATCTCTGACAAATAAAAAGACGCAACAAATTGACCTGGTGGTGTACTTGACCTCGAAAGCTACCGCATAGCAAAAATGAACAAAATGATTTATAAACAGACTATAACTACAAACTAAACAAATTCTACTCAAATTAATTCTACAGTTTTGCTTTCTCTGACGATCCTGTGCATAAAACTGAAATTTAAACAGGTCGGCATTTTACCGGTAAACCGGAAAATCAATGCACAAATTAACTTGTCAGAAGTGTGAATTGCCTCCTGCCAGTACGGTAACGGCCTTGCCGGTACGGCTAATGACCTTCGGGTACGGTAAAGCAGCGGCCGGTACGGTAAAGCAGCGGCCGGTACGGTAAAGAAACACACGCCGCGGGAGACTCACAGGAAACCGGCTTGGTGGTAATGATCAGTTCCCTTAGTGATGTTGCTTGCTGGTCGTGAATTGACCGAGTCTTGGTTAACGGTTAAAATGTTGCTCATTTGGCGTCAGTAATCTTTATTTGAAAACTGAGTGACGCCGCAACGTCGCCAGCAGCCTGAGAAACCTCCTGGTATCTCGATGTTGACGGTTGCGGTTGCCCTTCAAGGTTTATAAAACTCAGTTTCCAGGTGGTCAACATAATTGAGTTCTCTCAATCAAAGTATTCCATGTGGTGTACACCTAATATGCCAAAAATGTTGTTGAACGATTTGAACCAAACAAAAATAGCAGACGAAAAAGTGTTTTAAAAATAAAAATAGTTTGGTAGCCAATGGAAATACCATATTCATTTGCATATCGACCGTGAAAATACTGAAAACATTATTGCATGGGTAATATGCAAGTAGATTCATGTACGCCGAGGGAAAAATATCGTACTTCTAAATATTGTTTATTTCTGCTATGTTTCGAAAAACGGTACTCCAGAACTACTTTGTTTTCTCTCAGACCTCATTTGCATATGGGGTGTGGAAATACCGATTTTGATTTCAGGGACGAATCAAAATAAACTGCAGTACAACTATAATTATTCCTTGAGACTAAAATATGCAAATGAGGCCGGCATGTTGTTGCAACTAATTAACCTAACTAATACATGTATACAAAAAGATTTTTGAACGATTTTTGTATGTAAATTTTGAGCAATAAAATTGTAGAGACACAGAAACTGAATAGATGACAGAATGGAATTGATTAGTTCCTAATAATATACTTATTAAACGAGTCATTGAAAATGACACAGTCCCTGTTAAATTTTTGAAAGTTCTCTTTGTGCTAGTCATATTAAAGCGGAGGGGTTGTCAGGAGCATGTCCTTGAAACTTGAGTTCCAAGTGGCATATACAACAGATTGTTATTTACATTAAAACACTTGTTCCGTGCAGTAGTAATATGGCCAAAAATAAAAACAGCCATCTTTGATCTGATTATGAAACACACTGACATGAATGATGTATGTGCCAAATACGAATGAAAATGGTACATAAATTGTGGAAATATAGTAGTAAGGCCAAAAAGTCAGATGGCTGTCAATCAGCCATCCTTGACCAGATTTTGAAACATATTGTCATGGACATGCATCCTAACATGTATAAAGTATATGTATGTGCCAAATTTGAATGAAAATTGACAGAGCACGTCTAAGATACCGCATAAAAAACAAAAAACAAGATGCCTGCCAGTTGACCATCTTTGATCCAATTGCAAAATAAATTGTCATGGACATGTATCCTAACATGTATAATCTATGTACCAAGTTTGAATGACAACCGACAAAGCATGTCCAAAATACAACCTTTTCAAAAAACAAGATGGCTGCCAGTCGGCCATTTTGAATCGAGTCGCTAAACCACTGCATGTGCATATGTTCCACATGAAGTACTAGGCACATGCAAAGAATGAACAAAATCGGTCCAAGGGATTCTGAGATATGACTCCGGACGGACGGATATTCAGTGACCACATTGATCTGTGTTGGGTTGAAGCAAGAAAGATGCAGGATGGGGCAGCTAATGTAAAATATGTTTTTCAACAGCAATCCTAAAGAGTGAGGCAGTGTAGATCTCAGAGCAGAGCTAAGTGTAGAAATTGAGATAGGAAGTAAATGATCCAACTAACCTGTGAGAATGACGATGAACTTCCTGGTATAGGTGAATCAATTTTCCTTTTTTTGCGTGGGCCAATAGCGAGTAATGCAGTCATATTGGCATCCCGTTTCCTCATCTGCTCCATTTCCATTTGCTGCATTTCTTTGGCTTTTTGTTTCAACCTCAATTGTTCTGGATCTTCTTGTCTTGACCGGCTCTGTTCATAAAAATAACAAAATAGTATGTATATACATGTAGTTGACAATTTTTTTTGTTTGTTTTTAGTTACTTAGGACAACAATAACCCATGAATGTCGCCACACTGGTCCGATACTAAAAATTAGTGACCACCAAGAAAATGCTTCTGACCAAGACAATAGTTTGATTGTTATTACCGACCAGCATGCATCCTGCCAGTCATGGATTGTAATTTGTAAACGATAGACCTAGTCCCAATACTAGTAATTTGTAAGTAAATACTTTCTAGTGATAGTCATTGATTTGAAAGCTAAAGTTCTGTCAAAATCAATTCCATCCCGATATAACATGGTCAAAGTGGAGGTCACGATTTTGTTACGCTAGTCCAGAACAAGCAACGCTTTATGTACATGAATATATACATTGTCACGAATCAGGTTAAAACTCTTTCTTCACCTTTTAAAAATTGCTAATCACCACTTTCGAAAACCATCATTAAGTTTTCAACTGAAATCCGTGCCAACACGTCATGATACAACATTGTTTTACTTCCGCAAAGTAATTTCGGAAAACTTCAGGTTTTAACGACATTACCATGCGGCATTCTGATGCATGCCAATCAACTAATGCGTCACAAACATCATGGCGGGTCTGTTTTTTTACTGAAGCGATCCAGTGATCACAAACATTTGCTCAGGATACAACTAATTTTAGTTGAATTTCACATAACAAGCAGCCTCTCGGCTGAGATAGCTCCGCTGTTAGCAATGCACATTTCAATTAAAGAACAGAAGATATCATTAGAAAATGAACAATATGCATAGTATCAATGCTATGGGACTTGCTGTTTTCAACAAGAATTCAAAAATATCATTTTTCACCATAAATGATTGTGGTTTTTAACAAGAAGTCGAAAATATCACTTTTTACCAAAAATATTCATCAAAATTACAGAATTGAAGATATTATCATGAAATGAACAAATTTGAGAGTGATCCACATGTAGTACATATATGTAATATCAAAGCAATTGGACTTTTTTACAAGAAGTTGAAAATATCACTTTTTACCAAAAATGACAAAAATATTCACCAAAATTAGAAAATTAAAGATATCATTACAAAATAAACAAATCTGAGAGAGGTCCACATGTAGCACCTATATATGTAATATCAATGCAATTGGACTTGCGGTTTTTAACAAGAAGTTGAAAATATCACTTTTTACCAAAAATGACAAAAATATTCACCAAAATTAGAAAATTAAAGATATCATTACAAAATGAACAAATCTGAGAGAGGTCCACATGTAGCACCTATATATGTAGTATCAATGCAATTGGACTTGCGGTTTTTAACAAGAAGTTGAAAATATCACTTTTTACCAAAAATGACAAAAATATTCACCAAAATTAGAGAATTAAAGATATGATCATGAAATGAACAAATCTGAGAGAGGTCTACCCAAGGTACATATACACCAAGTATCAAAACATTCAGGCTCGTAGTTTTCAAGAAGAAGTCAAAAAAGTAAAACATTGACACGGACAACAGACAATCACTCATATGATAAGCTCCGCTCGACAAAGTAACATTTTTTGCATGGAATCATGAGTAAGAGGTATTAATTATACACTGTAACTCCATAAGTTACAGCGTTCCAAAATTTTGCAGTATTGCACTGGGTGTTTTTTTCCTATCATATTAGGAAACACAAATTCCAAATATCGAACGACTATGCATGTAAGCGTCTTCTAATGATAAAAAACAAACATGGCTGCTCCCAAGGTTTGACACAAATCCCACACAAAGAAGTTCGCTAAATATGTTCTAAAAATGATCTATTCTGAGACAAAAAGTGTATAATAATAAGGTTAATACGGGGATACTGCAAAGCATGCACCAAGACAGTACAGCGGGAGTATCGACCAACGCGACGCGGAGGTCAATGCGACCGTGTACTGTCTGAGTATTATATTATGTCATGTTGTAACTTTGATGATCTTTTGCAAGTTTTATTGTTCGTTCATTACTGTAAATAGAAACATTTTAGAAGATGATAGTACAAGTTACAACAATTCGCCAAATAATTGATGCAAATAAAATGACACAATCCACAGCAAAAGAAAATCTTGCTTCAGCAGATGAATAATCTCACAGCTGCCAGCAAGTCTCATTCTGAGATAATAGTGCAAACATTCACCTTAGCAGCTCTCAGTAACATTTCCCGTTCTTGTTCATCATGCCTTTTTCTTTCAAGAGCATCTAACTGTTCAAAAAAACGTAGTTTGGATTTTATGTCATCCGTCATTTCATACCTAGAGTCATTCTAAAATGAAGATAAAAACAAATCATGTTACTTATTAGCACAACTTATTAGCCACAAATGAAGTACAACACATTATTTATGAACCCCAGGCTAGGTTACCAATTTATTG